TCTCTCCCTTCCCTTCCCTTCCCTTCCCTTCCCTTCCCTTCCCTTCCCTTTTTAATTGAACCCAAGGAGAGGGAGACTCACATCACAATACTTAATTGTGTTTTTGTTTTCCTAATAAAGTGTTAAATACCTGTCAGAGCTCATAAACATACAGCCTAACATAAACCAAGCCAGAGACACAGATGTATACACCTGCGTGCAAACCACCTGACTGCTATGTCTTGTTTTATTAGAGCATGGTATATGAAGCTAAATTATGTGGGGCTTATGGATCCTTAAATTACATGTTTTTATTGATCTCCTGTCACTCTTAAAAATATATTACAGAGGAAAAGAATGCAGTCTTTGATACTGAAAAAGAAATTCAACTGCAACCCATAAAAGATCTGAGAAACTATAGTTCAATGTGTGGGGCTGACAAAAACGTAAAACATTTGGTCATAGCTAATTAGTTTTAAAAATTCTGTGTCACAAGCCTTTAGAGACCAGATCAGGAATCAGTGTTATAGTCATTCATGGGACAACTTTCCTGGTTGTCCTGGGGTATGCATTTTGAAGCAGACACCTTTGTGCAAAATTTTCATATCCCCCAAACCACACAGTGATCTTCTTTGCCCCTTATCCCCAGTCAGAGCTGGGAAACAGGGCCCTGGGGTTTGAAATCCAGGTTTCCACAGCAGCATAATTTCTGCAAACCTGGCCTCTGCCTGGGTCCCAGCCTGGGGGAATAAGACCCACCAGTGTGTGGTCTTCTGTTGGACATGGCACAATTTTGTATGTGGAGACCCACAGTGGTGCTGTGGGAAGAGCTCAGGAACGAGGGGCTGGGGTCTGCCTTGCCCCTTGCAGAACTCAGCATCACAGTGGGAATAAACCTTGTCAGCATGGGATGAAGCACTGATGGTGAGGTTGAGGATGCTGTGGTTTGTCTTATCTGGTGGAGAGGAGGTGGGGTGAAGTAGGGTGATTTTGGTGCTGCTCCTCCAAGCTGGGTGAGCCTGATTTGACTGGTGGCTGTGGCGTGCCTGTACCCTGCTGTAGCTCATTGCCTCGTGTGAGGTGGTGAGTGATTGAGAGCAACCATTTTTATATCTTTTAAGAAATGAATCTGTTTCCCTAGTGGATTCTTGTCATTGCTGGAATGCAGCTGCTAGCTCCAAAATGGACATCTCCTGTAATATTGTTTGATCTCATAACACAAAACAAACCGGATGCTCACGTCGGATAGACCTCAGCATAACCTTTTTTTCTTACAGTGGAGAAATCCCATCATTTAACCTGTCTCTGAACCTGTATTTTTGGGCTCAAATAAGGACAAACATTAAATATGTACTCGTATCCCAGAACTTGTTTCTGGTACTCAGCTACTAAAAATTCAGCCATGGCCCTCATAAATTGTTCCTAATGTTTGAAGTTGCTTTTTTACCTTATCTGCAGGAAGCACCTGCACAGCTGCATTTACCAAGAGCAAAAGTATTTCTTCTGTTTCTGCAGAGAGATTTAAAAGAAGAGACTTGGCCAGTTCATATGCTACTGAAGGTATCAGCAGAATTTTAATAGGTGAGATAAACAATAATGAAAGGAAAAATAAAACTAGTTTTGTGGGTAGTTTTGAATTTGAGGACTGTGTTTCTGGGTTTTGGGGCATTTTCAGATCAACTTGCCTGTCTGACACCTGGATTTCATTCTCCTACAACTTTAAGAGGAGGAAAGGTGTGCATTTGTCTGGAGCAGTAAGTCTGCTTTGAAAGTTCATTGAAATTCAGAAATCCCATTTTCCAGCAGCCGTCCCCTGGCACTTTACAATTCATGCCTCTAAAAGGGATTGTTTGTAAGAAACTGAACTGTAGGAGCATAGCACAGATTTTAGGAATGTAGTCACGAGTGTTTCACAGGAACTTTGCTATCACTTTGGTTCTGCTCTTAAGAAGGTCTCTGATCTGAGCAAGGATAATGTCCTCCAGACATGCGGTTTCCTCTTCCAGCTTCCCCTGCAGTCCCCTCCAAGGAAGCTCCTGTTCAATTTGCACTCTGACACGCTTTCTGATTTACTGTTTATGGTGGTTTAGGACCCACCTCAAAGGCACCTGAGATGCCTGCAATTGGGATAGGAACATTCCAGAGAGAGGCAAGGCAACTGTCTGAGCACAAATCCCACTGCATCATCCCACTTGTGAATCAGAGCCACTGGCCTCAGTCCTGCCGTGTGCGGAGACACCGGAGAGACTGCAGGAGTCCCACTTTGAATGCACACATTGAGTTATTTGTTCCCAAAGAGAGGAAGTGATGTCACATGCTGAGAGTTGTTTGTGAATCCAGGAATGTTCCTGAGCCATGGCTGGCTGGCAGGGTGGAAACACACCTGCAAAGGGCCTGGTGACTCATCCTGGTCACAAGTGACGTGGAACCAGGTAGGACATGGCTGGCACAGCCTGGAGGGAAGATGTTTCTGAGGACATGGTGCACTGGCCAGGTGAATCTGAATGGGAAAATCCCTTTCCTGCATGTCTTCTCTCCCGTGACCTGAAGGAGAAAGGAGGCACTGCTCTCAGGTACGGCTGCACCTCTGAGTTTGTTCCTCACGGAGGCTGTTGGTTATACACCAAGGAGAGCAAGAAAGCTGCTGTGCTGATGAAGTTCAGCACATTAGAGCCCATGATGACAGTCCTGATGCTGTGTATGTCTAGATTAACACAGTGCTGTTGTAGTAGGTCTGTAAATGAGCCTCTGAGGCTCATTTTATTAATGACCTATTATTAAGACAATATAGGTAATATTTCACACTTTCTTCTGGCATTAAGGAGCATAAGATATGTTTCTTCCAAGAACTTTAAGGAGAGAGTAAGACCTCTTCACAGGCAAAGAGCAGGAATAACAGTGGTCATTCAGTGCCCAAAACTGGGGTATTCTAAGGGTATAGGGTGAGCAAGGGGAGCTTGCACACTTGGGAGAGGAGAGCAAGAAGGCCCCAGAAGCTGGGAATGGGGGCAGCAGAGGAAGCATCACTTGAAAAGGTGTTGAGAGTCAGGCACTGAAAGAAATTCCAGAGGTAAGGGACTTCTCAAGTCAAGGCTCTGGGCAGAGCACAGTCTCCTGTTGTTTGAGGCTTACTGCATCCATGAAAACCAAACTGACACAGCTTCCCCTAAGAATGGAAACAACCTTCAGGGCCCTGAGCATTGTCTAGTTGCTCATGCCAGGGTTAATACCAACTTCATAGAACATGCACCACCAAATTCTGTTTTCTTCTCACTCTCACAGTAGCAATAAAGAAGGTTTTCCTTCCTCTCTCCTTTGGCCAGTGGCTCTCCAGAGACTGAGGCCTGTGTGAGGGCTGCCTCACCTGCCTGCTGTGGAAATCGGCACCTCTGCTATACTTCTTGCCATATGCCAGCAGAACGGCTTCCTCCTGTGGGGATGAGACTGGCTGATGCTGACAAGCCTAAACCTCAGGTGGGGGCAGAAGTGCTGCATTAAAAGATGATGGGATGAAGAGCAGATGATTTCTCAAGCCCATACCAGTTTGCCTGTGCTGGTTTTGCCTCCATTGCCGAGACAGAAGGTGTGGGATGGCACCACAGGCTGGTGGTGTGGGACGGATCAGGAGATCAAGTAGCCCAAAAGGAAGTGCTAGAAACAGGGTTCTGTCATGCATCTCTCCATCATCAAAGGCAAAACCACCAAGGGTTTTGTTCTTCACTGCAGATAACTAACAGCAATCCTCCTGGGACAAAGCCAGTGCGTCTTTGGTCCAGCCCACTACCCAGATATGCTGGGTTGTGAGGCAGCATCTCCCACAGCAGCAGCCAGGAAGCTCCTGCTGAGGGGTGACACTGTTGTGGTGGTCTCAGGAGCAGGAGCTGAGCCTAGGTCCCACTTCTCAGGGGCAGAATTTCAGCTGCAGCCCTTTGGCTGGGGCAGTGTTAGTGTATTCAGGCAGATGTTCCACTGGGGCTGGCCCTGTCTCAGCGTGCCAAT